GTAGCCATAGTTCTTTGCGATGTGCAACGTCTCATTGATGGTCGCAAAGTTCCATGTCATCTTCTTAGGGACACATCTGAATGTCGTCAGAAAAAAACCGTCAATCGAGTAGAACGGCATTACACCTTGTACTCACCCCACATTGACACAGGTACCGCCAGACCGCCCGCTTTCCACGATGAGGGTCTTCTTGCCATACCAACCAGCTGCGCGGCGAGCGCTTCCACTGCCACCACTACCACCGCCGAGGACGATGTAGTCATACTGATGTGTTTCGACGGGAGCCATATTGGATGGTTGTTGGTTCTCAGGGGCGGATGACGAAGAAAAGTGTCGAGAGATTGTAGAGAGCCGAGAGTTCGTAGCAATTGGGTTCGCAGGGGTGAAGCGAGTAGAGTTGATGGTCGCCAGAGTTCGATTGGTCAAACGACCAGGACGAATTTGTCCGACAGAAGATCGGGTCAGAGATGAAGAGGCTCGAAAGCTAATTCGGGAGGATTGGATGGAGCGGGAGAGCATGGAGAGAGGGGAGGAGGGGAAGAGGGAACAATTATATACAGGCTTAGGTGAGAGGGGTCGGAAAAGACGTGGTGACGATATCGGGGTTCGTTAATGCGCATTGGTTCTTCCGTCACCGCGGTCGATTTCTCAGCATTGATTACGTGATCTGATCTAGATCCGGGACTTGATACTTTTGGGATCTACACTTTGTTTACACGGTTAATATGTAATATTATTGAATTTGTGGATTGTAGGTATGGGTATAGGAAATTCAGCAAAGAGCGACAGGGAGTGACCAGCACTCCACAATTAAAGTCGATGCAGCACACAAGGAAATAATATCGATCAGAAAATTTACAACTCAGAGCCAGGGTTGAAGCACTGGAGTAAGTCAAGACTTGATGGAAACCAACAAAGGCCAATGAATGTTGAGAGATTTTTCAGATAGAAAAGGGCCCCAGCCCTATCAATCCAAAGAGAGTAACAGTAACGGGGAACAGGGTATCAAAACGCGATGAATGTAAAAAAAAGCCATCGAGCCCATGCTTATATCTAGACTCCATGTCACAACATGCTAGAGTGACATGGCCAGTCTCTGGGGCGAGGGATAGACGGTAGTTGGGGCGTGGGAGGTGGAAGAGTGTGTTCGAATATTTGCGTGGACAGAGATCGTGAAGGTATCTTCTGATGACTTGCAGATCACGCAATCCACACAATGTCATGACATGCTACCCTGCTGGTCACATTTTGCATGCGACAGAGGGGCAGTCTTCAGTGTTAGAGGCAGTGTGAGGATCGGAGGAGTTGGACTCGTATGTTGTATTGCGAGACGAGGAAACAAAGTAAGAGTGTTTCGGTAGGAGGAGAGGCATCCCCGACTCAAAATCCAGGACCACGGGGATCCTTTCACCTTCGTCTGGGCGCTGTTGAAGCAGAACGCTATCGCAAGAGGACGGCTAGTGGGTATAGGCGATAACGGCAAAAGAGATGAGGCAGAAGCAGAGAGGTATGTAGACAGAGCGTTCCATATCGGCTGGAGTTGACGAGTTGCGCTTCATGTTTTTCAGTATATAATAGCACAGTGATGTGGTAGTGAATTCGGAGATCTGAAAAGGAGGGGGTCCGGGAGTATGAAGAGTCCGGGGAGGGGGTGGTGTTATCTTCTTATCTGCTTATGTAACCGCGTTGGGCCCTCAACAAAACGTCACCTGACTCAACATTGGATGACATTTGGCCAGTCAACAAATAGAAAGGGGGTGTCCTGATGCCCACAGTCCACTATTGATCTGCTGGACACGCAACCATATTTGATGATGAAGCCCCGTGGGCTGTTACTACTTAGTTGGCTGACAAGTGAGAACATCCAAGTATTCCACGTGGTACTAAGCCTCGGCAGGTCCTCGATTATAAAGTGGACTGGGAATTTCCAAGTTTGCCCTTTCCAAGGTTGTGCGATAATGCATCTGAATCGTCTATATATAGACGGTTTTCGATCTCCTGAGCAATATATAGGACAGCCTCTCCTCGTCTTAGTGTGTCCTCATACTCCATACACCCCTTGACGGTACCCATTTGCCAAGGGTCGGTCGCATGAGCTCATAAAGGGCACCTAGCCAACCTCAACAGCAACGATCTACATTACTACTTTGCCCCTAGCCATACTTACACATTTACCAAAGAACAGCCCCTGTCCAGCGTAATCCATAACACTCCGAAACCTCCACATTCACGGAGAATGAAGAATGCAAGGAGATACTAAACCACACCTCCTATCCACCAATGAAAGCAACCATGAGCGGCCTTCATACCTGGCCAAACAAAACACAAACCAAGAACGCGCCTTGCCGGCCAATGGAGCAAGGCATCTGGCCTCTCGAGTTCTCCTTCGTAGTCCTGATTAATTAGACAGAATCTTGCCCTAGAATAGTCCGGGTATACATGAGCCGATCTTCCCAAACACGTTCTCATCACCTCAATATCACGCCAACGATCTTCTACCAGCTACCATATCATCACCGTCATAATGCGTGTTTCAGCCCTCGCCTTCGCTGCCATTCTGTCCCTGGTCTCGGCCAAACAGATCAATATGCACTGTAACTTCGCCGAGGACCACACCGGCATGGTTCAGCAGCCCTACTGCTGCCGTGATTTGGTACCTGCACGGGGAAACTCGAAGGCAAATGAGGCATTGGACTGTATGTATAACAATCTCGGGATATTTAGTCACCGGGTTTGTCTAACGGTCTACTTTTCTAGGTGATCAACTGGACCAGCCTCAGCTGTGTGAAGATCAGTCTCGGCCGGCTTGCTGCTATACTATTGTGAGTTTTGTTCCAGTCAAGTTGGCTTTCGGAGTTTGCTAATCTGGTTTCTTCTACTTTTCTCAGGGCCCGAAGAAGATCTGTACCGGCCATGTTATCTTCCAGGATGCAGAGGATGTTTAGAGTGAGAAGGGTACGAAGGCACAGTTGAATACAATCGCTTTATGACTTGGCATTTGACGTTTTGACGTCAATAATTTCTCGTGAATAGACATCGAACATATATCACACTTCGCTTCTGGTGCTTGAATGAAATGACGGTGTACTATAACATGGCGCAGTCTAGTAGGATGTTTGACAAAACTTTGCCTATTGCCTAAAAGACTGGACCCAGGAGACAGCAGCATAGGTAAATCGGTCAAGCCGTATAATTAATTGCATGAATCAAGTAATGCTAGAATAACGAGCGCCAAATTCCACATCCCCCACGCCCAAGGTGCTATACATAGTCAACCTTTTATAAATGCAGCCACATCAATCGGAAATTACCCCAAGCATCTCCTCGGTGTTCCTGCGAAACAGACGCTCCGCTAGCCCCGGCTTGGTCGCACATAACTGCAAGCAACATTCGGTGAATGGACTGATATCGACACGAGAGAATCGAGTGTGTGGCCAATCAGTGGCATAGATGACCCGATTAGGTGCAACAGATAAGAACTCGCGTGCCATAGCCTGAAGGTCACGCATTTGATGGTCTTTGCTGAGTCTATACGGTGCAGACACCTTCACATACGTGTTCCCAGCGCGAAGCAGAGAGATTAAGGACGAGAACCCTTGAAGGTTATAGGGATTGAAAGCTGGACCATCATCGTCCCTCGAGGCGAGCTCGGGGCTGCCAAAATGGTCGATGCAGATGCGCACTCCTAGTCGTGGGATGATCGCCTCGACCATCGAGATCATCTTGAGGGGAAGATATATCTCGATAATCCAGTCGTGGAGCCGGGCAAGCTTAGCATGCTGAAGTAAGGTCTCTTCCAGCTCGGTCTTATCCATCACTTTCCCTACAGACTGAAGGTTGATTCTCAGTCCACGGACTCCAAGAGTATGCCATTCGTTTAAAGTCTCCAATTTGACGGTGGCAGGGTCAACCACGACAACCCCTCGGCCGCGCGAGGGCCCAAGTCTTCGCAATGCATCTAATAAACATGAATTGTCCGTGCCATAGACTGACGGTTGCACAAAGACGAGATTCTCAACACCTAGTCCGGACTCGAAGGCAAGAGCTTCGGGTAACGTATGTGCGGTGGGTTTATATACCGCCGTTGAAGAAATAGGAAAACGCTCAGGTTCCACAACATGCATATGACTATCCCAGGACTTTGGAGGCAGTCTCTGCTTCAGCGATATACTTGCGGACGAGACATGTGTTGAACGCCGTTGCTCTAACCGGGTGGAAAGGACATCAATCAATATCGATGGAGGCCCATGGAGTATATTGGGTTTGGCCTGAGCAGTGGTCAGCATCCTGAATAGATCCCAAGCAAATAGAGAGGGTAGGCAGAGTATAGAAAAAAGTCAAAAATCAAGCCCTGGGGAAATACTCACAGAAGAGCAACTCCGGCAAGGCGATATCACCCTAAGAAAAGACCTAGGAAGAACCATGCTAGTTTCACCGCTCAACGTTTGTGGACGTTGATCTAAGTGCCTGCACTGTAGGGGTGCTGAAATAAAAAGCACCCATCGGATAATATGTATGGATTACGACGTGTAGGCCTCGTACGACCCACCCCCCTAGCACCCACGCTTGTGGCCAGTTGCAGGGGAAAATCGAGCTCGGAAGTTGTCCGTCAAGGAGACGCTTTCAATCCGTAAGCAGCCATCTGGGCCTGTTAAATGAGCTGAGCCGTCAAGCGGAGCCAAGAAAGTGGATAGGTGCGGCATGATCCGACATTGAAAAATGGGGTCACTTGGAAGTAATTGTAATGCAAAAAAGCAATACTCACGGAGTAGAGCAACATGTAGTTAGACAATATGCAGAATATCAATTATCAGGTAATTAGTGTCCTAATCCTTGTAAAAGAGGGGTGAAGGACAAAGTACGGACGTTGGCCGAAGTTCTATTTAGCTCGGATGCCGAGCTCCCGGTCTTCCTCTCATGTCCACTCCCAGATAACACTTCATTTGCTCCCCGGATTTATCGAATACGCCCCCACAGCTCGCTTATACAATTTAAGGGCAATGCGATGGACGTTAAAATGGTCGACCAATCCCTATTACGCCCTGGTGATTGCTGTCATTGCCTGCGGCGGGATCCCGAAAGGTATGAAGACCCTTCCCTGCCCCCACCACTAGACTGGCTTATCGGACAATGATTTGCGATAATATACTGGTAGACATTTGCTGATTGCGCATTATCCCCGACAGGCTATGACGAAGGTGGCTATAGCGCCAGTGTCTCCCTCCCCTCCTTCAAGTCCGACTACGACCTCGCTAAACACCCGGGGTTCGATGATACCGAGCTAGCAAATCGAAAAGCGAACATCTCCTCCTTCAACGTGCTAGGTGCAGCACTTGGTGCGCTGTTAGTCCTTGATCTCAATGATCGACTTGGGCGCTTGGTGGCGTGGCGCTTAGCATGCGTCGTGTGGGCAACGGGGACATTGATCCAGGTATTCGCATCCGGTATATATGGACTGCTCTTGTTTAGTCGCATATGGGGCGGGTTGGGCGCGGGCGCTCTAACGGTAACTGCACCACTATATTTAACCGAAATAGCCCCTGCTAAGACGAGAGGTCTGGTGGTGGGGTTATACATGGTATTCCTACTGGCCTTTCTGGCTATGGGTAAGCTTTGACCCTCTATACATCCTACATTGTATACATATCCGGCTCCCAATCTGATTCGCTGCGCTTTCTTGCAGGATTCTTTATCAACTATGGTGCCAGGGTCCATATGGCCACCGCGCGAACTCAATACCGCCTCGTTCAGGCTGTTCCTTTAATCCCTGTCGGTATCGCATATGGTCTGTCGTACCTTTGCCCTGAGACTCCTCGGTATCTTGTCTCGAAACAGCTTCATCAGAAAGGGCTGGAGGTTCTGGCACGGCTACGGGGTAGGGATATCGATGATCCCGAAATCACAAAGGAGTTCGCAACTATTGATGCACGAGAGCGAGAGCGACAGACAGACTTAGCATATGTCTCCCATTGGGCTATCTTCAAGGAGACACAGATGAATCCGAATTACAGACAGCGCTTCTGGCTGCTAATGACCATGCAAACTATTGCTCAGTGGACCGGCGGGAACGGCATCACATACTACGTAACGAGCATATTCCAGGTACGTCAATTTCAACAAGCAATCATCAGCTATACCAGGCAACAAACCGCTAATATATACGAAACAGTACGCCGGCCTAGAAGGCGACTCAACGTCCCTTGTCTCCTCCGGCGCATACGGGATAGTCAAACTAATCTTCACAATGGCTTTCACATGGGGTCTAATCGACCTCATTGGTCGACGCCGCTGCACCCTCGCCGGACTAAGCCTGCAGCTGTGCGCACACATCTACATGGGTATATACATGGGCCTGCGCCCAGGCTCGGAAGACAACAAAGCCGCCTCCAACGCAGCCGTCGCCTCGGTCTTCGTCTACGCCGTCGGCTGGTCTATCGGCCTATGCACGGTGCCTTACCTGTACGGTACGGAGATCTTCCCAACGCGCATCCGCAACGTCAGTTACGCGATTAGCATGGCGCTGCACTGGTTCTTCCAGTTTGCCGTTGTACGAGTCACGCCGAATATGTTCGTCTCGCTGCACGTCTGGGGTGCTTATCTCTTCTGGGCACTTATTTGCTTTTCTGGGCTCATCATTCTTGGTGTTTGGATGCCTGAGACGAAGGGTGTGCCAATTGAGCGGATGGGGGATTTGTTTGACGGGCCATGGTATCTACGCTGGCGGGCTAAGCCGAGGGAGTGGGATCTTGCTTCGCCGACTGATACGCTGGAGAATGTTTCATCGAAGGACGGTTGTGTCGTTAAGTCTGCCGGTTCGGCCTTGTGAGGGTCTTTTTCGTTATTTCCCTGGCATCCCATTGACATATATATGCTCTGTTTTGGATATCAAGAAAAAGTTGCAAGACTTATAATGCAGTGCAATATTGCCTACACCGATTGACACTTTGGAATACATTCAATTATCCTCATTGGCTGCTGACGTGATATATCTATCTCGGATTGATCTTTTAGCAGGGTACTATATTGTGTGTGTATTTGGGAATCACGAGAACAAAAGTCGAGTAATGCTATACAAGATCATAGAAGATCAGCCCCAGCCCTGATCAAAGACAGGCGTCATATTCGTCGTGATTGGCTGCGCATACGAGAATGCCTCATATACCTCAGGCGTAATTTCGTAGGACCCGGGGTCATTCATCGTCATTCCGGCATTTGGCATCCCGCCCAGCAAGTGCATAGGCGGCAGCTGGGGCATTTCGCCCATGTTCGGGATGTCGAAACCTGATCCTGGGTGCTGAAAGGTATTGTAGGCTCCCATCACGGGCGGGTTTTCAGGGTCGGTGTTTTGGACTTGCGTGGCTATCGATGCTTGCGACTGGTGGTGACGATGGCCTGGAGAGACATGGCGGGATTGGTTGCTGCCTGCTGAGGGGGATTGACTGTGCTGAGGGTGGTGGGGATGTTGATGTGGGGATTGGTGATGTTGGGGGTGTTCTTGTTTAGTCTCAGGAATGGGAGTGGGGATTAGTCCGTGGATGTTGATTTGGAGTTTTTGGAGCTCCAGGGAGATGAGGCTGAGCGCTGTTGTGATAACGGGGTTGGCGACTTTGACTCTCTCAAGGGCGAAAATGCAGAACTTGAGTTTGTCTAGGGTTCCCGGTGCGGCGTACTTCAGGGCTTGGATCTCGAGCAGGAAAATCGATGCGGCTGTATAGATGCTGTATGCGAGAGAGAGAACGACGTGGCTGTCGCCGAATGTGCGGCGGTATAGATCGAAGAGAGATAGGATTGATGTTGCTGATGCCATGCACTGTACAAGATGGTTCGAGTCGTACGCCTCGGGGCGGGCTTTAACCAGCTCCCGAGAGCAGAGGATTGGGCGGTGGAGAAGGATGTTAATAGTATGATATAGACAGCTAGAAAGGGCTGAGTTAGCACTGTATTCTAATTCACGCAGGATTGGGTACATACTTCAAAATCACGATATGGCTCGGTGGTGAGTATGGAGGAAGATCTACCACTGCCAATTTCAAGTAGTCCGGAAGCTCATCCCACCAGTCATTCAGATTCTTGGCTTGCTCCTGAACACAGTCAAAGAACTCCGAGTCCGTACTTTGGCGGATTGGGTCGTATATGTGGATTAGAATCTGATTCAAGATTTCCGCCAGACCGCACATCTTCATGAAACATGACGTTGAATGCGCCTGCGTCGGCGGATAGTGAGCACCATCAGTGAAGCTAACCCCATGAGGTGTCCATATTTCGATCTCAGCGGTGTCATCGAGAATCATGCGTGGCGGACTAACGCGAGAGTGCTGCATCGTCGGGGCCCGGCCGAAGTACAATGAAACAACCTTATCCCAGAAATAACAACTCCAAAATAGACGGTTCCGGATTTCAATATCCTCATCACTCAAATGGGCAGATCCTGAATATTTCCGGCTGTCGATAGAGATACCCAAGTCGTCCAGCAGCCGGAAGGCCATGCCACTGTATAGCCAAGCTTGCGTCCGATTTCCACGGCCGCATTCCTGGGCACTGAGAAGGAGTAATGTCTGAATGCTAGGGATGCCCGCATAACCAACTTTGAGGGAGCCGAATACCCCAGTCAATGCGCGATGGGAGAATTGTGCACCGCCGTCATAGGAGTCCAGCAGCGGGCCGACCTGAGGCTCCGCTTTGCACCAGCGTACCGAGTGCGAAAGAATGGCATTCAATAAAACGTCCGAGTAATAAGCTCCATTGATTTTCATATCACCTATTTGGGGAGGTTAGTGTCATAGGTTGTCTGAAATGACAAGGTCGAACAGACGTGTAAATGCAGGACGGTAGACAAAATTCCACAGCGGCTGGATCCAGCACCAATGCGAGTCGAGAAGATACTGGAAAGGCTCCTGCAGGACTGTATCAGCATATGCATCCCTTGAACAATATAATCCACCAGGACCCATACCGGCATAGCAGCCATTTGCTCGAATGCCCTCTCTCGCCATGCGCTATTAACAAGCCGCTCTTTGCGCCCCTCCAGTTCCTCCGTGTAATGTGAAGTCGGCGTCGTTCCACTCACCAGCCCACTGGGTAGCTGGAACAAACTAGTCGGCCCGTGAAATGAGACGCGACCGTCATTTTCCACATTGAGACCCTCAAATGCCCGGGTGAGATCTTCAGCATCGGGATCGATCTTTATCCTTGGTCCGCTCGAGCTGGACTCAGCCGACGACGGCGATCTGGTCTTCCGCACCTCTTCTCCCTCACGACTCTTCGATAAAGCATCCTCCAACTGCGCAACCCTAGCCTCAAGCTGTTTTGTGTAAGATAAAGTCGGGGCTCTATGAGAGAGACAAGAGTGTCAGCGACTGCGACGCGGCAAAGGAATAGAATAAAGAGGAAGGGATCGACTCACAAGCTATACACACACTGCTCGCTACGCGCGGCGCATCGCGAACACGACGGACTAGCGCCGTTACATTTAACCTGGCGAGTAGTTAGCTCGGAAATCTCGGGTTTCGTCCGAGAGGATCCGCACGTACCTTGCGTTTACGACAGGCCTCGCATGAGAAGGCGCTCTTCCGGGGGAGACGGGGTTTGGAAGGCTCTGCCATTCCCGATTTGGCGTTTTAAACTCCCAACTCGTGGATAAATACCCCTCAAAAGGTCAAAATGAAAACAGGAGAGAAGACTTTGGGCCCCTACGTGGGGCGCGGGGATAGCCTTTTTAGAAAATGAGATTTGACATAAATTGGGGTAGAAGACTTTGATTGGTGGAGCATTTGGAGATGAGGAGGCATCTGGGCTCCACGGGAGGTTATTTTTATATACCCTAGCCTTAGGTAGTATGTGGTAGTTATGTTGTACTTGTACACTTAATAGCCAAGGCAATTATATATCAAATGCTATTTGCATGGTATTCAATTGTACACACGATTCATACATCCCTTATTTCTTCCCTTTCTTGAAACCTGGCTTGCCCTTACCCTTGCCCTTCTTGGGATCCTTAGCAGACTCAGCATCACCCTTGCCCTTTTTCCACCCGATATTACCATCGTGTCTCATCTGCGCATCGTCAAGACGCTTCTTGTCCTTATTGCTAAGCTTGACATTGCTTCTCTTGGTATTGGGACCGTTCAATTCGACGGCACCCAGCTTGCGAGAAACCTTCTTGTCCTTCTCGGTCTCGAACCATGTCCGCTTCGGCCGCGACATGATCTCGTTTCCGTGCTTCATGAGGTTCTCGCCCTTGGTGAATTGCATCTCCGCTTGAGAGAACTGCTTCTCGGTCTTCTCCTCTTGCAAGATCTCGGCAACCTCGTCGGCCATATCCTCGGCCTTTTGCGCCCAGCTGTCGGCAACAGCTTGCTCGACCACACGACTGACGATCTTGGCGCCTTGGGCCTTGCCTGCGCGGACGGCAAGCTTGACGACCTTGCGGTCGGGCTCGGCAGCAATCGTGCACGCACGACCGGAGCGGCCGGCACGGGCTGTACGTCCAACACGATGCAGGTAGATCTCATGGCTCTGGGGAGCCTCGTAGTTAATGACGGTCTCAACACCCTTGATATCGAGACCACGAGATGCAACGTCGGTGGCGAGAAGGAAGGCAACCTTGCCATCTCGGAAGTTTTCGACGGATTTGATACGCTGCATGGGAGGTTAGTGGTGCTGTAGATATAGGACAAGAGTTGTTGTTACATACCTGTTCTTGGCTCAGACTACCGTGTAGTTCTGCTGCCTTCAAGCCCAATAGGCCGAAAATGATACGGACGCGGTGAGCTTCTTTCTTCTGTCGGAAGAAGATAATAACGCGCTTTGAGTAGGCCTCTTTGCACAGGTACAGAAGGTAACCGAGACGCTTGTCCTCCCGTCCGGGACGGAGACGCACGAACTCTTGAATAAGGGTGGATACAGTGTGCTTCTTGGCATCAACCATCAAGCGCATTGGGCGGTTCATACCAACACGAATAAGTTTGTCAATTGAGTCTGTCATCGTCGCGGAGAAGAGCATAGTCTGGCGAGATTTGGGAATCGTGGTGAGAATCTCGTTCAACTCATCGGCGAAACCATCCTCAAGCATACGATCTGCCTCATCAAGAACCAAAATCTCCAGGGTATCGACTGTGAAACTGGGCGAGTTGCGCATGTGATCAATGAAACGACCGGGAGTGGCAATGATGACATCGGGGCGCTTTTTGAGCACATTCTCCTGCTCGCGAAGACTGAAACCACCAACCAATTGACAGAATGTGACGTCTGTGAAGGTGGCCAGTTTGACGGAAACATTGTAACATTGAACAGCCAACTCACGAGTGGGCATCAGAATCACAACACGACTTGTAGGAACCTTGCGGGGACGGAAGAGGAGACGTTCGAGGATGGGAACAATGAAGGCAGCGGTCTTTCCTGAACCAGTCACCGCACTACCGACGATATCCTTGCCCAATAGAGCAACGGGAATCGCCTTGCGTTGGATAGGAGTCGGGTCTGTAAATCCAACTGCGGCAAGACCTCGAAGGATGGGACGGGAAAGATTGAATTCTTGGAAAGTCATCTTGGCCATGTTGGCCTTGGTGTCGACCTTTTCTTCGGGGGCAAAGAACGCTTTGCGCTTCTCTGCTTCCTCCTCGTCCACCTCGCTCTCTACATCGGACTCTCGGTCTGAGCCCATGTCGTCGGGGTGACCGACGGGTGTGGCGACAGAGTCGTTATCAGATGCAGCATCGTCATCGGAATCCTCATTATCATCCTTGTCCTCGTCGTCCTCCTCGCCTTCGTCCCCAGAGCCAGGCTCGGGGCCCTCAGCATCACTCTCATCCTCGCCATCCGCACCCA